TAAACTGCAATCGTAATCAAGCATACTGGAAAATTTCACTGTGATTTACTTTTGAGGAAAGATTTGTTTGGAATTGGCTATGGAGAATAAGTTTAACAGGGTATCTTTGTTAAGTTGTTTTTGATGAGGATTTTATTGTTGTATTTTAATGAGAAGGTTCCTATAAGTCTGTAGAATTTGTTAGTTCTACCACTAGAACTGTGACGTTCCCCCACCCCACATTTTTTTATACTTCAGAAGTATCTGATCTTTAAAAAAGAATTTGAAACCCTCTCATCCATTCAGAGGAAGCCAGTATTGTAATTCTGCAGTGACTTGTAGGAATTACTTCTGTTCTACAGCTTACCTCCTCAAATAACTAGGTATTTGTGTGTCCTCTCAAAGAGGGGAAAAGAGCTACAGCAACAATTATCGGCTGGACTGTAAACTGCTTTCTTCTCAAAAGAGGATAAAACACTCCACCTCTTATCTTACTGCCTTATAGCACTCTCTAACTTCAGAACCAATCACAATGGTTTCTCATTATCTACCCCACAATCCTGGCTCAAATCCTCCAAAGCATTACAACCATATGCTAAGGGCAGAATTTGATTTTATTTTTATAAGCACAACAACCACCCACCTTCAATATCACAAAGCACTGGGTGGGGGTGGTAGTGGTTAGGAAGAGAACTCCAGTTCCTCTGTGGCACATAAAATTCAGCAAAGTGCACACTTTGAAATGTGTAGGAGGGTGACACCAAGGAACATGGGTGGCACTTTTGTGACTTGAAGGAAATGTCTCACAAATAAGGGATTTCAGCACTTCCTTCAAAAGCAAATCTTGCGCAGAGGCTGGTATTACAAAGGCAGCCTCAACTCCAGCAAAGTTCCAGGAAATACTAACTACTTTGAGAGATTCAGTGATGGTAATGTAGTGGTGGAAGGAAAACAAAACAAAGTGGAGTATGAAAAATGGAAAGCAGCCAAATAACATGGGGAAGGCATCCTCCACACATCTTCCCCAACCTGCTGCTCTCCAGATGTTAGACCACAACTCCCATCATTCCATTGACCATATCAGCTGGAAGCTATGGGAGCTCTAATCCTACACATAGAGACGCCACCAGCTTGGGAAGGCTGTGACTGACAAATATAGCCTTGCTCCTCCATCCTTTAGCAGACAATGCAGCTGCAACATGGGCTTCAGTACAGGATACCTTATAGCATGCTTTGAGGATCAGATCCTGCCCAACAGTGTCCCAGCTTTCAAAAGAGACACAGAGAGGGTTCAAAATCTTTAAAACTGTCCCTACAAACTCTGACTCTGACTCCTAGCCATGAGAGTTCTGGTTGCAATTAGCCCATGGGAAAGTGTAAGCACTCTGCACATGCACAAAGATGGTCTTCTCTGTAGAAATTTTCAAAGAAGTAACCCGTTAGCCCCTTGCACCATAAAAAAAAGGGGGGGAAGGAAGGAAGAGGGAGGAAAACAAAGAAAAAGTGGTAGAGCCTTTACTACAGGGGTAGGCAACCTTTTTGAGCTGGGGGCCGGGTTGCTGTCCCTCAGACAATTGGGGGGCTGAAGCACCAATAAATAAATAAATAAATAAATAAAAATAAAAAAATATTTAAAAAAAATTAAAAATATACATGCACACTCTCTCAGCCCCAGAAAAGTAATGGCAAACCCCCTGTGGAGATTTTGCCAAGAAAACCCCAAGAACAAGTAATAGCAACAATAATCAATATCATCATGGCAGGCGGCGGCGGCAGCACCGGCCTGGGGCCGGTCCCCCGGGCCTTAGGTTGCCTACCCCTGCTTTACTACTAACTGTTTTTTATTTTCGCATGAGCTTTTATACCTACAGAATACAGCACTCTGGAAAGCATGGGGTGTAGTGCATTGGGCTATGACTCTGGTAAGCCAGGGCTCAGTCACAAAACCAACTGGAGTGACCCTGGGCAAGTCACAGTCTCTCAGTTTCAATAGCCACCCCATTCCCTCTCTGAAAGCAATGCAAGGGCAACCTCTCTCTGAAGAAACTTGCCAAGGGAGGGGGGGACATGATAGGGTCAGGGTAAATAAGTCGGAAACGACATGAAGGCAAGCAACAGCAAACGGCATCCTAAGAAAGTGGGTTTTCAGTTCAGGAAAGCAGCCCGTGCGAAAATAAAATCAAGACCCAACTAGAATGAGTCTTCTCTGAGGCTGCTCCACGTGCTCCCAATACGGAGAGCCAATTGGGCAAAGTCAAGCCCAACGATTGCAGTGGAAGGCATCCCTTCCCACAAAGCCAATGCTCTCCTTTCCTTGGTCGCGATCCTGGGACAGAGAGGAAAGGCTGCATGCCTACTGGAGCAATAACTCAGTTTGGCAGCGCTTTTAACTGCCCTGACTCAAGGCTTGCAATTCCCAGAATTCCATAGCCTTGAGCCAGGGCAGTTAACGCAGGGACGTATTAAAACAAATGACAGTACTTGCCCATAAGAAAAGCATACTTTCCCATAGACAATCATTGGAGAAAACTTGCTCATAGGGAAATATTGTTTCCAATGTTTCCCTATGGGCAAGGAATTCCCAATATTTCCCTATGGGCAAGTAAGTATTTTCCCAATGTTTCCCTGTAAGCAAGTATTCTCCAATGATTCTCTATGGGCAAGTATGGTTTCCCTTTTGGGCAAGTAATTCTATCCCTATGGGTAAGTATCCCCCAATGTTTCCCTGTAGGCAAGTATTCTCCAATGATTCTCTATGGGCAAGTAATTCTCAGTGTATCCCTATGGGCAAGTATTCTCCCAGTGTTTCCCTGTAAGTAAGTATTGTCCAATGATTCTGTATGGGCAAGTAATTCTCAATGTATCC